TGCAAGGGCCAAATAATTATGGTAATTATTTGCATACTATATAAAGATACGTAATTGATAAAAACATACACTCGTTATTTAACAATATTTGTAATAACATGTACAAAGCACATACTAATATCTGTCATTCAAAGGCACATTTTACCTCAGAAATAATTACAATTTTCATTTTGTAAAAAGGGCAAAGATGTGTTTTTAAAATGTTGTAATAATGGATTGAGGTGATGTGAGATGCTAATCACCTGTACAAAAAAGTGTTGAATTTGAAACAATTCATGATTTAGGTAACAAAATTTTAAAACAATGTTTTTTTACTCCCATACTAATTTTTAAATATTACTGTACTTATTGCGAAAATGAAAAGAAACGAAAGATGGCTCAGAAATATGACCAATGAATAACTTTTGGGCACTGTAACAGGGCACAAAAGATACAAAGCTTTCGAAAAAATAGAAAATTTTAGATATAATGGGCCTTTAAGTATATATAGTTGTTTAGAAAATGATATATGTGTGTTATAGAAGGCTGACCCTATCTTATATCAATGTACTGCAATTTGCTTTATGTATTATAGAATAGTGACCATATTTTAAATACGTGCTGCAGTTGCATAAGGCGCTTCTTTTGTGAATGTTTATCATAGCAAAGTGGTGAAAATAATGACGAGTCACTTCGTAGAACGACCTAATTAAGACTAAAGATCGTCTTTGTTAAGCGATGTATGATTGAACATATTACATTAGATGGTCTTCGGAGGAAACCTTTTATTACCCAAATGAAATAGCTAATCCCAGGCGAACCAGATCCAGGGACTTTTCCGAACAACTGTTGTGACACTTGACCACGTTATATATTATCTCTCCTATATATATTGTTCTATTGCGTTAGTAACTCAGTAGATTATAAAAGAAGAAATACGATACGAGTTTCATTCTTTCTTGAATTATGCTAGAAACATCATAATGCCAAGTCTTAAATACGTTATTAACATTTTCACAATATCAAACGTACATGTTATTCTTCGAATTAATTTCGAAAATTTTAATATTCATGATAAAATAAATAAATGTATTTAATATAATTACCATCATGATAAGTTGTCTTTCAATTCTAAACAACAAAGATTATATAGCATTTGATATTATATAGCATTTTGTTTGTGTCTTTTATTGCTGTTGCTGTTGTTTGTTTGTTTGTTTCTTTGTTGGTTTGTTTGTTTTGTTGTTATTGTTTTTTTTTTTGTTATTGCTGCTGCTGCTATTTTTGTTATTGTTGTTATTTGTCGTCGTCTTTGTCGTTGTTGTTGTTGTTATTGTTATTGTTGTTGCTGTTTTCCTTTTTGCCTTACAGGTTTTATTCTCTTTAGTGTCAATTATTTTCAGTTATTTTCCGACTTCTCTTTATAATTCAAACATATGTTCAGCAGTGCTTAAAAACGTTGAACGGGAAGTAACTGTAATATTTCTACCACCTCGATTCATTTTCGAGTTGTCGGGATTCGTAATACATGTATGTTATGTCTACACTCATTGATAACCTCGTGATTTTGGGTTATCTTAATCAGGTTAAAAATGATGGTAGCACATTTCCATTGCTGATAAAAGTTCACTTTGACACAAGTGATAAAGTCATCTCAACAAACTTTAAACAATAACTGATGACGTTAACATATATAAATGTTGGTGAATTGATATGATTATATTTAGGGCTGTTTAATAAGGACGCAAGGTGAAGAGTTCAAAATATTTTATTGAATGAATTCGGTGTCACAACAATTCATTGTTTACACAATAATGAAATAAAACATGAAATACTTTTATCTTGTGTTATATTGTGTTACCGCTTATGTATAATACTTATATGAAACAATACCCGACATCTTTCTAAAACTATTTCAAAATTAGATTTGAAAACCATATACAATTTATTGACAGATAAGATTAATGATCTTGAAACATTTCCGTCACGTTCATAGTCTATAACCTGTAGTCTTGCAAGGAAAAGAACAACGTGTCACTTATATGCAGCTTTTTCAATATTGCCGTTTTAGGCGTTACTCAGGGCACGGACTTGGTTTATACAGAATTTATTTTAGGTCGATTGTTGAGGAAGCTAAAAGCTTATAGCCGCACTTTCGAATCCGTTCCTGGAACCAACCAGTACTGAGAAATAAGTGTAAAGTTTCTTGCTCAAGGAAACAACTCATGCGGCTAGCGATCATTAGATTACTAGTCCGACGCGTTGGCCATGCCGCCACTCAAGGGGACACTATTTTTTTAGGGGGGTTATATTTTAGTATTGTTAGTTTGACAAATATGAAATTTAAATTTGTATCTAAATCTTATTTTACCATTTAAGCAATATTAAGCTAAACTTAGGATTTCAACTGTTTTCAGATTTAAAAATGACATGCATAAATATATTTTCACTTGAACATTCTCTTTTAACCGAGTCATTTTTGTCATAAATACAATGAAACTACCTATTAAGTGAACTGTAATATTCCTGAATCATATTTTGATAATAGCATCAGTTTTTATATTTATGATCTGACAATGTATATTCACAGCATATATCCAGTAACGCAGGAATGTCCAAATAACGCAATGTGACGCCAAATCAGTGAAACGCTATGGCCAAAACGGGTTTCAACCTCGTTAATGGTCTCAGACACATTTTGGTGCAAATTTAGTAGTGGATATTGAATGAAAGTAGGGTTCGATACTGAATTTATTGAACGAGTTGAATAAATTTATGTATTATGCGAGCATGATATTTTATTCATCGAGAATTTAACAGTCAATTTATCACATTCCAAAAAAAGAAAGAGTGTTTAAATCGGACTCCCAAACAAAATTTACCCATATTTCAGACTGCTTTTTTCGCGGGTGCGCGATGATGTAGTTTTTATCCTACCATTGTTATTGATCTCCCAATTCCTATCTCACCAAGAAGTCCCCTAAGGTCATTTTAAAATGTCTGTAAATGACGTCATAAAACCACGTGATTTCAATGTACTTGTATATAAACATGAGTCAATATTTGTTTTAGGTCAAAGAGCACACTTTGCGGTTTGACAGTAAAATGTCCTTGGTCGATAGCAATATGTTACGCATAAGTAAGACAGATTTGATCATTAAGCTTTTATTTTATAAAGACAAAACAGCATTTTATAAATAAATAAAATTATTTTACCATTCTTATTGTTTCATAAACCTTTTAGACAGTATTGCTTTAAATCTGATCAAAGGCTGTTCAAAAAAAAGGATAAATTTGAAAGGAAACTCCCACGTCAACACTAATGTTCGTATATGAAACGTTAAAAAAGCATTTAGTACAATGAATCACTACATAAATAAGAATAACCCAACTAAGAAAGCTGCTCATACAGATTCAACCAACATGCAGCCTTCTTACTGGTGGTTTCAAGCTAATTATTAAACTAAATCTGCAATTATTGTGATCCTTTGATCAATTAAGGATATATCAAAAGGTAAAACTACTAAGTGTTTTTTGTTGGTTTTTTTTTTATTTTTTTGTTGTTTTTTTTTTTGTTTTTGTTTTTTAAGAAAATCGATTTTACGGTATATCTTGTATCATTGCTTCGAAAGCACACTGTTTATTATTAATCTATTTAGCTATTGACTTCAACGGGAAAGGGTGTTTATTATTTGATTTCGACTCTTGCGACACTTCATAATTTGACCCACAGTACATAGCTTATTGACCGAAATCTTGATATAATGGCCTTGAAAAAAAACACTATATTTTGTTACTACATGTATTTATAGTAACATAGATAATCGGTCTTATTACATAGCAATTCTTTTGCCCTCCCCAAAGGGTAATACAATAAATTTATGACAAAAAATAAACTTAAGATAGTGTTATAGCAAACGACAAATGCTATATCATATCATAAGCACATAATCATTTAGCCCCCCAAAAATATAATGATTATATTTTATTACGTTATAGTGTTTAAATGGTCACTTTATCCGTTTTAGCGAACGGGGTCATAAAGTATCCATGCCGTTCAAAACTCTGTGTAGCTTTAAAAGACCTCCCTGACTTTGCTCTCAACTTTGTGACCAGTTTCAATATTTAGATAGTATCAAAATAACTACTTGAAGATGAGATATTTGAATGGATGCTTCTGATTTTAAGGCATCGAAATATTAGTACAAAAATGTCCCGATATCTATATAACACATTCGAGCTTGCTAAACGTTATGTTGATGGTACATGTAAGTATGATGAATGTACTTCTAAGAATGATTTTCCTTCGTCTAATATAAATTGCTTGTTACATATAGAAGAGACATATTGGCTGAGTAATGTTGCCATTCCATTATTTCTCTGGAACATACTTAGACATACCGAGTCTGGGATAGTCACTTGTAAGTTCTGTTTCCGTCAGCTTCTCTGAAAGAAGGTCTCTACAGTTTGCATAGTTATGATAGGCAGAATAAAGGACTGTATATTCAACCTTGCATGATCTTAAAAAATATGACAACAACAAAAACAGTTCAAGCAACAATATGTTTATCGTCGATCAATGGTTGATAACTCCAAAAACGAAAACGTCGATTCCAAAATACACTTATTTTCGCTTTTATTGTTTCTTACATTATATATCAAGATTCTGTAAAGTTTAAAGAATGGAAAGTCTGTAATACAATAAATTACTCTGTTGATAGTATTTAGTACCTTAAACGACAACAAACCACGAAATACTTATATATTGATGTTGTTTGTATGTGGGAGATACATGATCCGATATAAAATAATTATGTACATGTATAGAAGATGATAAAATGTTCCAAAACAAAATATCATTTTTCGTCATATGAATGATTATACGAAAAGCCCGTAGAACTATAGCAGCATTTTTAAGAAATATTTAAAAAGATTAGGGAAATGATACATTCCTATTGTTTGTATCAATATACATTCCTATTTTTTGTATCAATATTTGAAATTCTTATGTCCATTGTGCCATTTGTAGACAACGCCACTGTGAAAGTATTCTTTTACATTTCTTCTGCCTGAAAACTGTAACAAACGTCCTTAGGAGGTATGTATATGACAAACACGATAACCATTAAAATATTACATTTATTAGAATATATAATATCAATACGGGTACACACATGACATTTACACGAACGGCAAAACAGTTTCAATATAATTTCTTTTCTTCTTGTCAACATATATACATGTACAATCAGTGATCATTATATAAATACAAGCATTTTATACTGGTGTGAAATAACAAGAAATAATTAAATTAAATTAAATTAAATTATAGATTTATAATAAAACTGCACGTTTGTAACTTTCGTCGATTTTCGTCAGAGTTTCATAACGTTTTATACAATTGTAAAATTATGAATTGATTTACATATTTACACACAAGGAGTGCCTGTTTTATAAATTCTTGTATAAGCAAGATCTAGGACGGTTAATATGGTCGCGTCTAAACGGTTGCGCAACCGTTTATACATGGCATGTCAGAAAGCTTTAATACTACATATTTCCTCTGTTTTAGGATCATACATTAAATTACTTTACGACGGTCGTGTATTTGGAATATTTTATTCTCGTATATATACGTCTTGACTATCCAATGAAATTGACGTTACAAATGTACAGTATCATTACTAATGTATTGGTAATTTCTTGTTTAAATTCACTAGTTCTGTACATGAACTTGTATTTCAAAATTTCTATCATAACTCACTCATTCAATAACTTTAAACATGTTATAGAGTTTAGAAATAAGTAATTGCACACAACAGTATATATAGAATAAGGATATTGAATGAGTATAGGTTAAATACTGGATATATTTAACGAGGTGAATGAAATTATATTAGGCGAGCTTCTGGCAATGCTTTTACGTGATGTCAACTTAAGGTGTTTTTTTTTTCAGTTACTCTTTTAAATAACTATTGAATAACAGTACAACAATTGTTACAATAGCATCCTAGAAATGAATCAAACGCGGTAACTACTTGAGGAATCAATCAAACGCGATACTTTAAGAAGATATACACAAATTGTGAAAGAGTATATCAATGCATGTCATATGTGTTACTATATTCAATGAATTTTATGAGGTAGAATGGTAAGTATCATCATAAGTGTTGCCTTATACCTTGGCTAGTTAAGTGAATGGAAGATTAAATAGTATCCATCCTTTATCGAGTAAAGTGAATGGTAGATAAAACTGTTCATCCTACAATGAGTTAAGTGAATGGAAGATGACATGAATAAAAGTTCTACCTAATGTTAAGAAAATGGAATATAAAGTATAGATGCCCTACATAGAGTGATACAAAATATGTGCACTATATCAAAATATGTAAATGAAGGGAAAAACATACGTCTTATATTGATTTAAGTAAAGACATTTAGTCGCCCTCATATCGAGTTTAGCGAATGGAAGAATTGATGAAAACTTTATAATTTTCATCGAATTACGAAAAGAATGCGTTTCTCTACGATTAATTAAGAGAAAGAATGGGATATGAAAATAGTTGCCCTGCAAAATGTTTCTTCACATTAAGGTAAACAAAAGTGCACTACATCTTGTTATGTGAATTAAAGATGAAAAAAGTAGTTGCCTGACATGGAATAGAAAATTTCTGAGATACAAATACATAGATGATTTACACCGGGGTAACTGAATTGAAGATGTTGTTGTTAACTCTGCAGTTAGACAATAAGTGGTGATGAAATACGTTTAATTGGCAAATACACAATAGTTAGTTAAAGTATTACACAATCTATTTATTGTGTTAGCAAAGTTATGATGTTTATAATGATTTAAGTATATATAAATCGCTTTGAAACCAATATCAGAATCGAAAGTCATAAGAAAAGAGCAGCTACACACAATATATATTTACGCTCTTTCATTCGAGGTGTTAATTGAAAGGCCAAATGAAATGAATTTATTCTTATTTCACGAATTTCAAAGCTTTTTATTTTTGGAGTACTTTTAAAGTTTCCAAAAAGTTACTCATTGTTCAATTATCTGAACCATCTTTTCCTTCGGTTTGGTTTTAGCATTAAGTACGGTTATAGTGATTTAGTTTTTTGTATGGAAGTCCAAATACAATATAGTTTACCTTTTTGCTTCTTTTATGGCAAAATAATTTCACATTCAGCCATTGCGACTTTCCTCGGGTAACATGCATCTAATATGCTCTATAGGTTTAAAGAAATCATGTGTGTCCTTTCTTGAGAAGAAAAAAAAAACTCGTTTCTGAAAAATAATGTGCTTTAAATGATGATGATGATGAACATGACGATGATTGTTCAGAAAATATCACAGAATTTGCAACTCATAGTTTTGATTGAACATCATCTCTTTGCGGTTGAATAATAGATTTGTGGATAGATTCTTCCAATCTTTCCAGACAGAGCTTTTCTGTACAACTCGTCCTGTTTTGGTAGAATCTGATCATGGGCTGGAGCATAGTTTCCGTAAACTTTCTTCACTGTCATAGACATGGATGCTATCTGTTCCAAGCACATTGTCAGCTCGGACAATCTTTTATCATTTTGCACATTGAGCAAACTGGCCGTGGTAAGTTCCAGTTCTTTTCTTAGACCAATGATTAGAGAGTTTTCTTCGTCAATGCGTATCCTGAGTTTTTCCTCCAGTTCCTCGATGTTCCTTTGCAGTATGCCCATTTGTATCTCTGTATTTGTCTTTTCAACTTTCAGCTCCCTGTTCTCTTTTACAGCCTTTTCATAATTTTGCAATGTTTCGTTATGTTTCTCTGATTTCATAACCAGAACATCATTTTCTTTCCTCAAAGAATTCAATTCATATTCTGTATTCTTAAGATCTAATCCGTTCGCATAAAAATTTTCGCTGATATGCAGTATTTCAGCCTCCTGCGAAGACCTGTGGCAATTTAATTGACGATGCGTGGCGTCCATAGTGACTAATTTATCTTTCAGTTCTCTGAGTTCCGTTGATTGTGCTTGGATACGGTGTACGGCTTCGGTCAATTGTTTTTTCAGGTTTGTATTTTCTCTTTCCAATTCTTTTTGATTGCCGGATTTAACATTATCTCCAAATTCTTCATCAGTCTGCATTCCTACAATTACATTAACAGATAGATAAAATGTAATGACTAATTGTATATATACACCCATTAATCAATAAGAAAACTCTACATTTTAAGCCGTATGAAGTTTTCCTGAAGAAAAAAAAATAAGGTAATTTCTTTCCAAAAAAAATAAACACCTATAAATATTGCTTTAAGATGTGTAGGTTGTTCCGATTTAACCATAACCATTTGTTATGCATAAAAATCTTTAAAAATGAAATTAAATTTATCCGTTTAAGCTTCATTCTGCTAAGATAAGAATTTTCATAGAATCGTCAAGTTCCTAATAAGTAGATAATATATTTAAGGGTGTAAACTCTAATGAAAGTCTTATGCATGTCATTTAAATTTGACGAAGATAACATTGTTACCAATGTCACAGCAGTAAGTGCGTGACTTGCTTCTTCGGCAATCTACTTGTCTGTCTTCTTGTGATTTTGAATCAGCAATTTTTTCAATGTCCGTCTCTATCTCGTCATTAAAGCTCTCACCATCACAACATGGTATTACGAGTCTGTAGCTGCAAGGAGACCTCTTAAATTTTATAAATGCCTCGACAATCTGTTTTATGCGAAAAGCAAGCTCGTGAAGTTGGGTTGGTGAGTAACGATGGAAATCAGCTCCGCTAACCCCCACTTCTACCAAACTATTGCAGATAACTAAAAATGGTTAAAAGCTAACTGTTAGAATAAGGTTTGTTTGTATCTTGTCATTGCTAGATAATTGAAAATCTACATGTAGATAAAATTTAATTTTCACAAAAAAAACAGAGTCGTTAACATAATCACAATTGCAAGTTGGATTTAAAAATACTACGAATTTTGTTACGATAATTTAGTTTTAATAACTGATGTTGTACATTTTTTCGCAAAGTATTTTCTTGAATGACTTAACGAAGTAAATCTGTTGAATTAAAATAAGTAAATTAGCAATAAGAAAATCTTTTACTAGTTTTATTACTATTATTTATTTTTTATTAATTTTCATTTTAGATTCAAAGACTGTATCTCTGCATGCATTAAAAAAGTTCATGGTCTTATTGAAAGTGGTATAATGTCCGTATTAGTGTAAAGGTGGGTCAAACAGGTCAAACTAAAAAACATAAGAGATTCTACTAAAGTGGTTTCCAATTTTATAGTTTACTTTTTTTGTACAATATGTAACTCACGTGGAGGCGGAAAATCTATCCATTCCCTTCAAAATGTATCGTCAATGTTTTATTGAGGGTGGGGTAGTATTTTATATTTAATGGCAGCCTTAGCATTTTCCATCATCATTTGTTGGTCAAAAAGTATTGTTATAGTATAGTCAATATTTTTATATACATGTAAAAGCAAATGTAGTTCAACTTAAATAGCAAAGTGTCCCATTAACTTATCAAAACCACTATTTACTAATTGATACAAATTAAATCTCAGATACCGTTAACGCGTGTCAGCAATTTATCACACTGACTTTACATTGTTCTACAACCTGATATGATAAGATAGACCAAATAAGAAAATAATAAAATGTCTCGGTTTTTCATGAATAAGGATTATTTTTACATTGATCACGTAAAATGAACATAATATTTCTATGAAAATCTCAATATATATCAAATTCTTTGTTAAACCTTATGAAAATCTTAAAATATATCAAATTCTTTGTAAAACTTATGAAAATCTCATTATATATCAAATTCTTTGTAAAACTTATGAAAATTTCAAAATATATCAGTTTTTTTTGGTAAACATCAGTTTTTTTGGTAACATTTTTTATAGATATTTTTGGAGAAAATTAACATGTTAATGAGGAAATACTTTTTTCTGCGAATAATAGTAAACCACTTCATTTGAAAAAAATAATTAGGTTATATTTTTATTTGCTGAAGTAAAGCATTTTAAATATCAATATGAAATAAATATGAGTCCGTTTTCATTTTTGTGACCAATTTCGAACGTGTATAAGACAAGTTCGGGAGAAAAAGAATGCAAGAAAAGTAAAAGAAACTAAAATGGTTATTCATTACCACAGCTCCGTATCAATAAGAGAAAATGGGTTCCTTAAATACGTTTTCGGGAGTTTTCATACAGACATATAGGCAAAATTAAAAATGTTAAATAGAATTTCTGAAAACTTGGCATGTTCTTTAAGTATGATAATAAAAATATTTCAAGCGAAATATAGTGCAAAACGGCAAAATTGAAAATGCTTCATGGTCGGTTTGATTTACACGAAAAAAAGTGTTGTTTTGTTTTTAGAAAAAAAAAACATCCAAAGTAATGTGAAACATACCTAAGTCTGTTAAAGGTGGATCAAAGTGTAGCACATTATTTTGGCTTTGGGCGAACTTGTAGACCATGGCAATAAGCGAGTCGTTTCTTAGAACTGCCATTATCATTTGAAGATAGAGTAGGTCGTTCATTGTGATGAACTTTCTTGCTTGCAGAAGATCATAGACCTTGATAGTTGAAACAAAATCATCCATACCTTGAGAATAAGCGAATGTTACAAAAGATAACGTATGAGATATGTGCATTTTGTCCCAAATATAACATAATTAAAGCTGTATTAATTATGTTTTCCTTGAGATATATAGTCAGTTATAGATTTACCTGATAATTCTCCGTGTTCAATATAGTACATCGGGTTTGGCCTATATTCACTTTCGATCGATTTTCATTAAGTACATCTTTTTGGTATACAAAGATAACGATATGCAATTAACCAGTTCAAAAATGTAGAAATTTGTATCTTTTTACTAATTTGTTACACAGTTAGATGCTATATGAAAATGTGCCATCAATTGTTTGACTTTTAGATTTGTGGGTGTCACTTTTAATCCAGCAGTAATTGTGTTAATTTAAAATATTGGTGGAAATCATATTTACTAAGATGTTATGTGTTAACTTCGCAATCAATCTTTTGATAGTTTTGCTAATATGTTATTTCCATAATTCTCACCATATGATGTGGTTTGTTATAAATTTTGTTAACTGTATGTATATTGGTGGTACCGGTTTGACATAGGGCATATGCAGGGATTTTTATTCTCATCCATGAATACTTAACAAAATGACCTTATTTCCTATGTCATTTGTTTTCTACGATAGTATATCTTCATGTGTTACCTTCTTTTAATTAAGATATCATTATTAATATAATTGCAGATTTCGCAAAATAAAATGATTTTACCTTCCATGAGGAACTTGATTATAGCCAATTCTTCGTCAGTTGTCTCTTTTGACAGTTGCACCAGAAGTAAGTTTAGGTTCCACCGGTCATAAGGCTGTCTCGGCATAATTGGCCAATTTGTTCCTGTGTGCGCACGTATCTGCAATTTTGAGATGGGATCATTTTCATCTCTTGTTTCATCTGTAACTTCGATATACCGTTCTTTAACAAATGTTTGATCAGTTTCTGAGGTTTCTCCAGTATTAATTTCTTTACAAAATGTTTCTTCAGTTCCGGAACATTTAAGATTGTCAAAGGAGAAAGTAAGATAACTACAACTATCTATCGCGGCGTCTAATTCAACGTTTGCTTCTTTATCCACTTCGATATTAAAAGAATTTTGCATCATCAGTGATCGTGGTGTCTTCTATTTAACTGTATTATCTGAAAAAGGGCATGAGTACAAATCAACTGTTTTGTTAGATTATCCCTTTTATAATCCAGTCATATAAATCAATCCTATAAAAGTGAATTGCTAAATCAATTTATGCACATACGCAGCTCTGCGTTCTTTGCGGTTTCAAATTGTTATTAAGGTGAACTACGATTTACAACAATCTAAATGGGAAATGTGTTTTTTCCCATGACGTAAACCGAATAAATATGTGGGCCATGGGAACCAAGGATGTTTAGGTCGTAAATTATACCGTTGTTACGTTGGGCTTGATTTTTATAATCGTTGGTAGTATTATCGGATTTTTAATGACAGAAGTTCAATTTTAAGCTCATGAGTAACTTTGAAACGGTTCACATCTTCATGAATTATACATATGATTTGTAATATCTTTTACGTAAACATGATACAAAATATGAAGTCAAATGAAAGTGTTATGTATAACATTTTCGGCACTAATTATAAGACTGACAATAACTTAATTTTGTATGTATCGAGTCCTAAAAGTGTTAATTTGTATTTCGTTTGTTATCCAAAGGAAAAATTAAATCCCACAAGCACCTCAAATACAATAATTACTGTATTAGTATTTTATTTTTGATGAGCATCATAAGGAAAATAGAAATACAATTCCTCAGACAACATCTAACATGTATTTGTCATTTATATCGGTGGTTTCTGATTAATCAGATAGAGTAAGAATTATAACTACACAGAACATGTTTTACCGGTGGTAGTATACCAAGGATACTCCTCAGTGCGTTATTTGAGGGGCGGGCGTTACCTGAGTAAAATCATCGACTATCTTTAAGTTAGCTTAATGGCTTCCTAACACGAAATTTTAATAAAGACTCTAGCGGAATTCGAAAAAATAGTACATTCGATCAGACTGTAAGCAACTAGTTGTATTACATTTTACCTATTCGTTTTCGAATTATTTGCTTAACAAGATATGATGAAAAACTTTGAAATTACCCAAAATCTAGCTTTTCCATGTTAGCATGTGGTCTTTCACCTAATTTTGGCTGAAAAATTGTTGTTTTGTAACATTTTTTATCCTTTTAATTAACCCTTTCCCTCATGAGCATATTGTGAAAATGGCCGTTTTCTTTGAAAAGCCTCCTGTTACAAGTTCAAACTGCTATGAAACTATGAAAAATGCTTCAATACTAATCAAACTTGACACAAATGTTGAATGGACCATTGCCTTTGTAACGACATGCTCAGTCTTAAATGTCCTTTTACCAAGGCAACGAGGGGAGGTCTTAAAATTGCCAAATATCATATTTTGACTTGATTTTTTCCATCAAAATTTATTTCAAAGTGCTGCAACTTCTCAATGGATTTGAGGTAAGAGTCAAAATGCTTTTCAGTGTTGGTTACACGTTATCTTATGATCGACCTGGGGTCCATTTTTAGCCTCTCACAAAGTCCAAAATTTTCTAGGCGATGAGGGGGGACTACCGCCCCCCTTCACCCCCCCCCAAACAGAAGGGGCAACATCCCCTACTGGCAACCCCCTGATGTATCTTTTGGATGGGGCGGCGCAGAAAAAGTGCTCACTTTTTTAGCAACATTTCTCAAACGAAAACATGTGTTTGGGGCCCAAATAGGACATTTTTTCATATTTGAGGCCTAAAAGAGGGGGGGGGGGGGGGTCGAAAGTGCGTTGTTTCGGCATATATATGAGGTAAAGGGTGTTAAGCATGTCTATTTATATTTTACGTATACTAAATAGATAGCAAAATTTCAAAATAAATGCTTCCCATTTTTGATTCAGATTTTGCTGTCATTCAAAAATGCATCGTTCACATTCGTGATAATCTTATGTATATATGATATAACCTTTGTTTAGTTTTATCGAGCGTTTAACTTTGGGTTACTCGTAACGTTATAAGTTCAATTAAATGTGGTTATTGATAAACAAACGATTATCATGTGAATGGAATGTCATTGATTAAAAGTAGCTCACTCACATGTTCGTCTTCTGTCTTGCTTCGTCGGGACCTTGTAGGTGATTTTCTGTTGCTCTGCCCTTCCTTTAAGGCATCGAGTACTTGGGGTAATGGTCCCATTAAAGCTTATACCTTTTTGTACATAATAAATTCGTTTTTTGAATTGATTGAATGATTGGATTGAATTGCTTGAATCGATTGATTGCCTTGCTTGATCGATTGGATTGATTGATTGATTGATTGATAAGAATCGATTCAATTGATTGATTTTTAAATTGCTAACGCATGTTAGAATGTGGTTAACTATTTAAGCTGTCAATATTTCTCTGTCTTAAACGAATAGAGTCGTGAATATATGAAATTTGTATACAATGGAAAAATTTAATTATCCAAAAATTACAGTCAAACGTGTAGAAAGCGTTGCAATGTTCTTTTCAATATTTATTGGGATAATTACACGTCAGGCGTATACTTAACTCCATTTAAACGATTTTCACATATTTTATACAGTTTTGAACTTGTGACATAACGAATGGGGGCGTTCCCTTAAAAACACAAACATTTGACAGGTAAAGGTGGTCGTTTGATGAAAGATTGATCGGTCGTCAAACATTAAAGATATAGATAGAAAATGATTTAAAGTGGTCGCAATAGACAAAAGTCGCTTAATACACGTAGTCGCATGGTCAATTTTGACTTTTTTTCTGTTTTGGTAATATTGACAAGGCGTTATTGAATTTGGACCTGTTTAAGCAAAGTATCAAAAGAGCAAAAAAAATAACAAGATTTTAGTAATGTTACTGCAAATTATTATATGATGATGCGTATACGTAAAAAAGTAAATATCAGTTTACCATTGGCGTATATGAGCAGTTTCTGAATAGACCCATAGAACCCAGACAAATTTAATGGGGTTTTGTTTTAATGAACTCCACTGAGGTCAAAAGGCCAAAAGAAGGAAAGGAATGAATTTCTTACATAGATCAACTAGGGCTCATTAAACGTAAATTTATTCAAAATATACAACATCGGCGATTTGTGCATGAAATTTCGCCAAAAAAAAAGTTTTCTTGATGCTAGTGATGCTAAGCCGTTCAAACACCCTGATTCCGTTGCGGATTACAATGCATTTGTTCGGAAGTTTTTTTTACAGGCATGGGTTTGTATTGACAGATTGGGGTCATGGACGGTACTAGGAAAATTTTAGCTACAACCTGCGCCCCTAGCACCTGCTAACGCAGAATTCGACATTTTAGAATTTTGAATTTAATTTAAACATCCGCAGACGGGTCCATACGGCGGTTATCATTGAACTTTCAATGTGACATTTTAGTACTATTCCATCAAAAGAGGCACATACTTCCCAAGTAAATTCAACGAGAAAAAAACGGAATCTTTTAAAACAAAACGGACTTTTGGCCTTGTCCGAACAGCTCCGACTTTCAAGGTTTTTTTCTGTGTAATAGAAAGGAATTGTTCAACTTTTTTAGAATCTCATAGGTTTTTAAAACATAATGCTGTTTTTTCGCCCTATTCCTTTAAAATTTTACTCGGGGAAAAAACCCCTTTTATCTGGCCCCATATAACTCAGTTTTTTGAAAAGCGTTTGGATTTGAACCGTTATCACATTATGCCAAAAACAACGTCAGTACCCGCAAACTTTTATGAAGATCGCCTAATTTTCATTTCAATTGTTTTAAAAAAAACTGCATCACCCGTAATGGTATTATTTAAAAACACTGAAATCTCATTTTAAAGGCCCCTCCCCCTGAGGCCAAAAACTTAAACATAAAATTTTAATTTCTTAAAAGATCAGCTCGGCATTAAACAAAAGAATGAAAAGATAACAAAGAACTATACATGTACTTAGAAATGAATTCAGGATCGTATTTTTGAAGTATTTTTTAGCCCAATCAGATTGAAAAGTATTGCAACGCATTCGGCAATGAATCTAACTGTCACAAATTGTAGAAATGTATTTCTAATACACTTATGTTATTTTGATATATATTTGATGATTGTACATTTGAACTTTATTTTAAAAAGACATAACCCACTAATGTACCTATAATATTGAAATAAAAGCATTAGTTATGATATTTCCATACAAAATGTTATCCTTATGTTGTGACATACGTATTCTCATGTTTTGGTAGTAATAAGTACTTATTATGCCAAGAACACGGAGAACTCTTAATAGAATTAACTCAAAAGTTACCTTATTTTCCGCCTCATTTTTAATTTTCGTGTTTGTACTTTGCACTCCTTTTTTGGTTGATACTACCGTTGATTCCTCTTTCTCATCCAAAACTTATATCATCTGTCAATTCTTCTGTTTCCTTCTTTGGTGTATTTGTTGGCTTTTGTTCCAGCTCTTCTAATTCTTCATCGCTTAAGACAGAAAAAAATCCCGATATTTCTCTTCTGCGGCCCTTGGTAAACTCTGTTCCCGCGGAACAGAACGACTTCGGGTCTTTGGCGGTATCTTTTAGGCTATTTGTTGCCATAGCAATCAGAATTAACGCAAAATATTCCGCAGTGTACTGAGAAGACAAGAATGGTTTTATTTTAAAAATGTTTATTCAGATAAGTCAGTGTCAATACTATTTCTATTTAATATTTTAGTTTAATATGAGCATAGGAAATCACGTGGCGGAGAATCCTTTGTCATTGAGATTGATTGTAAACCGATTGTAATGAAGACAATTTTGCCGCCAATTAAGATAGCTAACGGACCTGTAAGTATAAATCCCATTTTAAATATTTCTGACACATAATTGAAAATTATATACATGTATCATATTTTTTTAAAGTTTTATTTTTAACTGTGCTTAAAATATGTAATAAGAATGGTACTGGTAAAACGCATTTGAATTGTGCCTTACTACCTCAACTAAATGATTTTTTATTTAATCTGCAATGTAAAAAAAACAATATAAATAATCCATGTATAACTCCCGCAGACATTGCTACAAATTGTTATCTGCATTTGGAAAGTAGAAATTGGAGCATGTTTCATTGTATTAAATCTATAGACGCTAGATAAGTAACGGGGAAAAACGAAATATACCGAGTATTTACGAATATAATGATGAAACTTTATATTGTTTTAAAATAAGTAAGTTACAAGGCAAAAAATATTTGGAAAAATCAGGGAAAAGCCAAAAGTCTAAATTCGAAACTTTGAAAAAGTTATAAATTTTTTTTTGATATTTTTACAATATATATACAATTTGGGCAAAATTGCTTAATGTGTGTAATTTTTTACTGTCAAACATTTTACCGATAAGCGTAGGATGTGACGCTCGACAAGAGAAAGCTATCCAAAAAGAAAGTGTTAGCAAGAGAGCACCAGAGAAAAAAGTAAGTTCAGTTATGCAAGGCCGTCGTCACAACAATTTGATTACATATACATGTACAAATACTTTCATAATTTATCTTCAAAAGAATGGTGTTTGCGAACACCTGATCTTAAGATAAGAAAATATCATATTTCATTCGCTTACTCATTTTACATTTTCCATATGATAAATATCATTTAAAAGAAATATATGTATTATTTCCATAACACAATATATATATATATATTTTAAATATATATATATTTCAACATCACACCAGACATATATCATTTATATCACACCATATTCACATAATCTACATCACACCAGACATATATCATTTATATCACACCATATTCATATAATCTACATCACACAAGACATATATCATTTATATCACACCATATTCATATAATCTACATCACACCAGACATACATCATTTATATCACACCAATATTCATATAATCTATCATCACACCAGACATATATCATTTATATCACACCATATTCATATAATCTACATCACACCAGACATATATCATTTATATCACACCATATTCATATTACCTACATCACACCAGACATATATCATTTATATCACACCATATTCATATAATCTACATCACACCAGACATATATCATTTATATCACACCATATTCATATAATCTGCATCACACCATACATATATCATTTATATCACACCATATTCATATAATCTACATCACACCAGACATATATCATTTACATACATGACACTAGATATTATATCAGTTACATCACATCAGATATTACATCACTCATAGCACACAAAATATATCTTTATAATCTACATCATTCAACGACATTGATAAACATTCCATTGACACAATTTTCTTTGACAATTTGTAGAACTGAATGTAAGGAACGAAAAGACGAGGCCGAACAGCGGTTTCGGGAAACATTCCGAAACAAGGTGGGATAACGACAGGCAGATGCTGAACGAAATCGAAGCCGTATGTGGTCACATGGTCCTAGCATCAGCCAGATGTCAACAAGAGCAAGTGCAGTAAACAATATAAATAGGACGGATAATTTAATCTACTGGTCAAGTGCCACAACGGTTGTTCGGAAAAGTCCCTGGATCCGATTCGACCGGGATTAGCTATTTCATTTGGGTAATTAAAGGTTTCCTCCGAAGATCATCTTTTGTAGTATATCCAATCATATCTTGCTTAACAAAGACGATCTTTAGTCCTTATTAGGTCGTTCTACAAAGTGACATTCACGTTATTACTTTTTCGCCACGTTGCTAAGAAGCGTCTAATGCAACTGCAGCACGTATTTAAAATATGGTCAGCCTTATATAATACATAAAGCAAATTGTAGCACATTGATATAAGATAGGATAAGCCTTCTATAATACACAGATATCAATATCTTAAACAACTATTTGTTCTTAAAGGCCCATTGTCTAAAGTCTAAAAAAAATATAATTACATGTATATTTTAATTTTTCGACAGCTTTGTATCTTTTGTGACTTGTTACAGTGTCCAAAAATTTAATCATTGGCCATATTTCTGAGCCATCTTTTCTTTCTTTTTCATTTTGGCAATAAGTACAATTATAGTTAACATTTATATTTAAAATACATTTTTTTTTTTAATTTGGCTACCTTTATCATAATCGTTTTACATTCAACACCATTTTTTCAGGTGATTAGCATCTCACATGTTCTAAATCCATTATTGAAACATTATAAAAACACATATTTGCTCTTTCCTTTCTGAAAAACTTATTCATTTCCGAGGTAAAATGTGCCTTTAAAAGAAAGATATTATTGTGTGCTTACTTCATGTAATTACAAATATTGTTAAATAACGAGTGTATGTTTTTATCAATTACGGATGCTTTTATCAACTACTTATACAGTATGCAAATAAATCCATTCATTTACAGCTCGTCTTTAAATGAATGCAGTTATCTGGTCCCCATTAAAGGGAGAGAACTCGTCCGGTCTTGTTGCTTCAACCACGTGTTGTGCGTGACGTCATAATTAAATCTGATGTCATCGAGACCTTGCGCGTTTTCAATCCTTTTCCTCGAGGAATTCAAGCAGGAAGGTCGACATTTTGCTTTTTCTTACAAATTAACCCTCCCAAACCCTACCCTTGTAGAAAGATTTATTGATTATATATTTGGAAGAGTTGCTTCGTTTGTTTCTTTGTATATTTTCAGCATAAACTGCTCACTAGATCAATTGATATGCTATCTTAGCCATTGATACACCTTAATGATCTACGTCATGACTGGCTGATGGGAAGAACCTTAACACTGAAAAATCACTGGACAAGACTTGTGTGTGGTATGACAGTATAGTGATGTGATTTAATGTGATTTAACAGGAACCAAGATTCATTAATTATGTTGAAAGAGTAAAGTGTTCATGTTGAAGAAATTATGACATAGATTGATTTAGATCTACATTTGATATTATGTAAAGAACAAAAGAAATGTATTTGTGACTTGTGTGAAAATAAGAAATTGTGAATGTGATTTAAACTAACATTTATGAAAAGATAACAAGGTTCTTTCCATAATTAATAATTGATTTATGTTGCATTTTATTATGATACGGCATTCTAGCGCACTTATCAAGTAACATATTCATGTGTTTAAAGAAGCATTCGGCATTGTTCTTGATTGGTATTTATATTACAAACCTTTCTTTTGGCATATTGGAAATCTCAATCAAAGTTATATTGAACATATTTTGTATAATATATATTATTGCATGTGCAATGCGTTTTTGTTACAAGTCAGTCATGGCCAAGCAACTGCCATCCTTTTATAAATAGATAATATTGCTAATTATATAATTATTCATTTAAGGTTATATGTTCTGAATAGAATACCATATATAAATATATATTGTGTTAGTTTTTTCTCACAGGGTGAACAGATAATTACCATAATTATTTGGACCCCGTGGTAAGAGAGTGCTACGATAATATATAGTATTGGATTTTTTCTACTTTATTCATCGTCTATGTACATAAACGAGTTTTACTTGCAACTATGAATATGTATATGGGGAATTAGCTCAAGTGGTAGAGCGCTCGCTATGCATGAGAGAGGTACCGGGATCGATACCGGATTCTTCATATTTCATTTTGCCATTAATTTTACAAATTATATTTCGAATCAGTCGCGATACGAAATACATATAAATACAAAAGTAGAAAAAATTCCGTGATCTATTATGTATTGAAGGCATTCTACCATCAGCATTTTATTATGGAACAGTTATTAGACCTTAACAATTTAATGTATGCATACAATTCTACAAATTAGCAAGTTAAGGAAACAAGAAATAATTTTAAATTATAACAACGTAGTCTGTGATTTTAATAGATCAACTATAGATATTCTACTGTAAGAGAACCCTTATAAACGCGCTTGAAAGTATCACATTTGTATCGATTTCATCTTTGCGGGTCATTGCAAACCGAAGAAATTAAATAAAAATACGAACACAGAAAAGGATTAAGAAATATACCTGATATTGAAAATTCTTCAAGTCCGTCATCGAATTCCTTCGAGCTTACTTTTGAATTTATTCATGTACTTGTTTTGTGTAGCTTGGTTTAAGCATTGATTAAGATTGACAAAATGTACGTATATATCGTTAGGTTTGAGGTGCTTTAAATGGGTGTATTAAAATACCATTTCATACTGTTCAAGGTATATCGTTTTTCTATATCGAAACCATAGTTATTTTTACACATTGCGCGATTTCTATTTTTTTTATAAACCAAACGACCATGTAGACGACTTTATTTTATCAATACCGCGTATCACAAGGACTTCTTCAATACTTGATCACGGTCAAACGACATCCATTACATAACTTTTTAGTGGTATAGATAATAGACGCTCAGCTGGCACATGTATAACTGTATTTGACTGGCAGCGTGGCCGAGTGGTTAATTAACGCTTCAGACTAGTAATGTAAGGATTGTTCAACGATTAGGTTCAAACCCTGTCATACTGATAGGCAAGCCTTTGTTTTCTTGAGCAAGAAACATTACATTCATTGATTATTACTGGTTGGTTCCAGGAACGGGTTCGAGAGTGTTTGAATAAGCTATAGCTTCCAACACAGTCGAACTAAAGTAAATTTGTATAAATAAACTAAACTAAACCTTAACTAAACAGAAACATGAGAGAGAACAAGCATGCAAACTGGCTGTTACCAAACCTTCATATACATCCATAATTATAATACTGAGAATCAATAGTTTAGCAGGAGATTGTGTTTTGTTCTTTTCATTTTTTAACAAGAACTTGCAACTTATGAAGAATGTTAGATGGTAATAACATATAAGTATTATTTTAAGCGTTTGCATCTGGAGCATTTTTGATTGCTTGCGTCTACAAAAATATTTATAGAAACTGTTGTAGAAATGACAATCCTTCGAAGTACACAAGGGTACTGTATCCAGTGCAGGTCATGGTGATTTTAGAACCCCGGTAGTTAATTAGTCTACCATACTTGTTTATCAGCTCTGTTAATATTTTTTCAATGTAGTGACTCAGCTTCCACATCTTCAAATGTTCAGTTAATACCCTATTATCAGTCCTTCGAAGCACCGTGCATCTGCAATCTTGGCCTATAACGTCCTTTTATTTCTGCGGCGTTGCTGTGTATTTATAAAATAGCATTTTCTAGAAGTAGAAGGAATTCATTTGAAAGCCGGTAGACAGTTAATATTTCTACCTAGATGAGAAATAGCTCTTGTTTGAAAGAGTGTACAAAGTGAGCGGAAAACAAATGTCATAAGCTTATTTAAAAAAATATGTGTAAGTGAAATGTATTTATGCATGTTTATGCCTGAAGAAGAAACTACTTAAGTTGAGTTAATTAAAAATTTGGTAAGTTATGTAACATTCAAGCATCTTAATCACTGTATTTCATTAAACTTATGACGATAAGTTGATATTTACAGTTAATTATGCGCTATATCAGCTATAAAGCTGTGTTATTATGTAAAGATTGTTGTTATGGACCGGTGACCGGTTTCAATAAATTGATTGTCATTGTCAGTGTCATTGTACTAATGATTAACTATAATGTAACGGATTAAAAATAAGAAAATAATTAAAGAAGGAAAGGCAATTATCCTAAAGTTAGTATAAAAGAAAACCAGAAAATGTGACCCATCTGTGTACGTTGGTGCTGTAAACTATAGCTTCTGCACCAACGTTCTCAATCCAAACGGCAACACTTTGATTCAAACGTAGAACAACCGTGCCTCCACCTTGAACATCTTTACTATGATTTAATTCAAATGGTCTTGAAGTGCCGGATGCTTCAAGGGAATTATCAGCCATCAAACGGAACTCAACATTTGAAGAGGATGAGTTGAGGTAGAAAATGAAGACGTAGGTTCCAGTAACTGGTACGGTGAAGATTCCAGTCACTGCATTGTAAGCATTTCCATCATTTGTTATTATCTTGTCAAATTTAACTGTTTGAGAGATTCCCAAATGGTCTTTTAAATGAGACAGGTAAGCAGAAAATGCCACCTGTGCTTGTATTGCTCGTCTTTGGTAATGACCTGAAAAATATATTTCTTTTTATAAGTATGGTTGGGGACTTGTGTCCGACATTTAGATATAACATTATGTATGAGTTAAATAAAGTTATGAGAAATTGACAAAATGGTCTTACTACATTCTATTTTATAAGGAAATAGACTCATTTGTGTCAGTACGAGATAAAATTTTATTGCAAACCTCATAAAACATAACAAATGAACTTTAAGCTTTTGCACCACGTGATTTTCTGATAGAAATCACTCTTGGATACAATCTAATCAAGAACCTCGTTTTTTATTTTGTAGAGTGCAAAAAGTCTATTTCAAATTTTCAAATGCATATCCTGCCCTGTTTAGCCTCGTTTTCATTTTCAGACTCTATAAGATCTAAAGCAAATGTATATCAAACTCCATCTAGCCTCGTATTCTTTTTGAGAGATCACAAAAAACCATATCAGATCCTTATTTTAACTGCAGGAACAAATGTCTGTCAAAAGTGGTGGTGTAAAATAAAGACGTCATTATACATTTTTGAGAATATAACTTTACGTATTCTTACTCAATATTGTAAGATATCCTCATAATATTTCACTGAGTGAGACCCAGCTGTAATACGTTTATCAGTAGCGTAACCACTATTTAAAATCTAACATTGAAATAGAATTTGATCATACAAGAAAAAAAATCTACTTTGTCACGTCATAAAAGCCATGTCACATACGATCTGATGACATATCTTGCCTAGATCTTTATGTTTATGTATTTCGTCTCTTTCGAACGACTTTTTTCTACTGATATAACTATTCTTTCAATATCATAATTAATGATATATTCACCCTTAGGCTAGCGTTTCCACGTTGCATAGCTTTACCACTCGTATTTGACTGCCTAACATACAGATTATCAGAAAATCGAAAGCAAATTCCGATAATTTACAAACATATATGTGCAGCGGACAAATGCGTTTGACAGGGCGATGCAACGCGAATCCTATTTTATTTTGATAATTTTTCCGCATTAAATACACAGAAATTTCAGCTTTGATAAAATTTGATATATATGGAAGCCGATATGTGTCGTTCGTGTTTTCGTCCTGCGACCCCGAGAATAAAAAAGCTAAAACAGTGGTGGCGCGGAGCGAAAACACGATAATTAGCGGGGGCGCGGGGCAATATTTGATAAATGATACTTCGCCCCACGGGGGCACGGAGCGAGGTTCAGGAAAGAAAACAGTTGCGGCGCGGAGCGAAAACACGCTCAGTAGCGCGGGCGCGGGGCAAAGTTTAATTAATAAGCGTGTGTTCGCTCCGCGCCCCCGCCATTTTATTTCTTAACTCTCAATCCGCACCCCTGCCGGGCGAAGCTTTATTTATTAAACATCACCCCATGCCTCTGCTTATTAGCGTGTTTTCGCTCCGCTCCCCTATTTTGCGGGGTCGCGGGTCAAAAACACGAATAGCACAAATCAGCCACCATAGGTATATACTTCATAATTCGACTGAGGAATTATCAAGATGAAATTAACTGCCATGTTTTTTGTAATCTTATTGAAAGTAAATAATAAATAGAAAGCATCTTTGTAACATTCGCCTTAGTTTGCAATTTTCAGCAATATAAAATGCTTACCGGTCGCTACATCTCTTTGTTTCATCTCGTTGCCAGCCGATTCACCTTCTATGATTTTATGTTCTGGATCTACTCTATTATTGGAAGTAGAATTAGCAAATTGTGCACCCGAAGTGTGCTGCGATTTAGTTTCAGTTCCTGTCAGTTGCTCAATTTCATTTTTGTCATGTGCTTGTAATTCTGCTATTTTCTTTGACTGTTCCAATACACGCACTTCCAGCTTAGCAACTCTTCTGTCAAATCGATTAATCTCCATATTTTAGCATGTGTCTTATCTCTAATTCTTATTTAATATCAAATTTATTCTTGATTGTTTAAAGGCACATTAGCAATAAATACGAATAATTGTTACATGCGTAGAAAGTGCAAATATTTGTTTTATAATGTTATAATAATGGATTTAGCACATGCATTATACTTATAACCTGGTTGAAAAAGCACTGAATGTGTTATAATTTGTCATTATAAGGTGGCCAAATGAAAACAAGTACTTTAACTACCGTTCAAAATACTAGTTAAATATAACTGATCTTATTGCAAAAGAAGCAAAACGTTACTCAGAGTTACTAAAGAGTAACCTTTTGGAAACTGAAACAGAGCACCAAAAAATAAAATATGTTTTTGAAAAAGAAAAATAACAGTATTTTTGAAGCTTCCTATGTTTTGATCAAGAGTCATTATGATTTTTTGAAAAAAATGAAATAAGTCACGTTATAGCTCTTATAATCAGAGCTAGTCACGGAATGAAATTTTGTCATGAAATTTAGACCGATTCAAGTCCGGATGTGTCGAAAATTTTACGCAAGTCCCTCCAACTTCGACTTATCGAAGTTCTACTGTACTTCATAATTCGACTGAGGATTTATCAAGATAAAATTTACTGCCATGTTTTTTTTTGTAATCTTATTGAAAGTAAATAATAATTAGAAAGCATGTTGGAAACATTCGTCTTAACTTGCAATTTTCGGCAATATAAAATGCTTACCGGTCGCTACATCTCTTTGTTTCATCTCGTTGCTAGTCGATTCACCTTCTATGATTTTATGTTCCCGATCAACTCTATTATTTGAAGTAGAATTAGCAAATTGTGCACCCGAAGTGTGCTGCGATTTAGTTTCAGTTCCTTTGTTTTTTGTTTAAAGCCGATTTAAATGGATTGCACTAAGATTATTTTGACATGATGTGACTGGAAATATTTTTTTCGAGATAATCATTCTTATTGATGTAGGTCTACGTGAAAGTAAATAAACCACATATTTATTTTACATAAAATTATAAGAAATGAATTAGCGCATACGGTTGCTGTGTCAATATATATTTCAAACATCCATGAACAAAAAAAAAATTTGAAGATCATTCATGAGAATGACGCACTGGCTAGCATTATTATTTGTGTTCGATATCTTTTAATACAATAATACACATGTATTACATTATGAGTCTCTACTATCGGTGTACATGAGGCATTTTCCAAACTACTCGTGCCATATTAATTACACTTAAATTTGCAGAGACCATTTTTACGAGATAACGCGTACCCGTTTTTCATTTGTTTTGGTCGTCAGACCAAACAAATAATGGTAGCGAAATTTCAGACCCTGATGCTGTTGATTGCAATTTGCAAATGCCGAAAGTAGTCCGCTTTCTTGAAGCGGTTACTTCCCTTTATATGTACACTAACGCCGAAAAATTCAGGGGAGATCACTGCGTAAAGATTGTCAAATGGCAGGCACATTAATTTTCAAGCAAAATAGTTCCCGAATGGTCGTAGATTTCTAATATTCTTTATAGATATACATGCTTATAGTAAGCTCCATGATTATTTACATATGTGTAAAACAACAGGTCTAGCGTCGAAATAATAAGTGTTACAAACCTTAATTTAGAATAATATGATTTTCTTCAGACCATTGACATATAACTTCACCGTGGCCGAGGGGTTTGCACGCTCCTTAGGAATCTAGAGGTTTGGAGTTCGAATCCCAGTTAAGGCAACTCTTTTTTTTTAATTGTTTAAGTCAAATTAACATTGAATTGAATATCAGTGTTGCAATAAGTCTTATAGCCACTTTACTACAGTTAAAACACTGAAAGCATTGGTGGCACTATACAAAAACAAATTGTTTTATAATCTCAAAACCTTCACCTTTCGACATTCTGAGACGTAAACAAATTCAGCACCTTCGGTGCTTTGATTGTATGACGTTTCCCAGATTTGGCGTCACATTACGTTATCTGGACATTCCTGCGTTACTGGATATATACTGTGTATATACGTTGTCCGTTCATAAATATAGAAACTGGTGTAATTATCAAAATATGATTAAGGAATATCATAGTTCACATAATACGAAGTTTCATTGTTTCATTACTAAAATGATTTGATAGAAAAAGGATGAAGTGAAAATACTGTTAGAGTAATTTATGCATGGCATTTTTAAATCTGAAGAAAGTTGAAATCTTAAGTATAAATAAATATAACTATGTTAAAATAGGATTTAGAAACAAATATAACATTCATATTTGTCAAACTAACAATACTGAAATAGAAACACTGTAAAAGTAGTTCATGTTTCATTTCATTATTGTGTAAACAATGAATTGTTGTGAAATCGATTTCATTCAAAAAATAATTGGATAAATAATCATGTCAATTTACCAAAATATATACATGTATATATTATGTTAACGCCATCAGTTATTGTAGATGACTTTATCCCTTGCGTCAAAGTGAACTTTTATCAGCAATGGAAATGTTTAATAATTATTTTAACCTGATTAAGATAACCCAAAATCACAAGGTTATCAATGAGTGTAGACATTACGAATCCCGACAACTCGAGAATGAATCGAGATGGTAGAAATGTTACAGTTACTCCCCGTTCAACGTTGTAAAGCACTGCGTGAACATATTAATGCTTTTGAAATACATAGAGAAGTCGGAAAATAACTGAAAATAATTTACACTAAAGAGAATAAAACATGTAAGGTAAAAAGGAAAACAACAACAGCAAAGACAACAACAACAACAACGACGACGACGACAACAAATAACAACATCAACAACAACAAAAAAACAATAACAACAAAACAAACCAACAAAGAAGCAAACAACAGCAGCAATAAAAGCCACACAACAAAAAACAAGAAACAAAATGCTATATAATCTATGTTGTTTAGAATTGAAAGAACAACTTTTAATGATAATAATTATAATCAATACATTAATTTATTTATTTTATCATGAATATTAAATTTTTCGAAATTAATTCTTAGGTTTGATATTGTCAAAATGTTAATAACGTATTTAAGACTTCGCATTATGATGTTCCTAGTATAATTCAAGAAAGAATGTTGTCAAAAGCGTGTAATCTACTGCGTTACTAACGCAATAGAACAATATATATAGGAGAGATAATTAATTCAGGTAGTTAAGTGTCACAACAGTTGTTCGGAAAAGTCCCTGGATCCGGTTCGCCCGGGATTAGCTATTTCATTTGGGTAATAAAAGGTTTCCTCCGAAGACTATCTGATGTAATATGTTCAATCATACCTCGCTTAACAAAGACGATCTTTAGTCTTAATCAGGTTGTTATCGAAGTGACAATATATACCTATGATAAACATTCGCAAAAGAAGTATCAAATGCAACTGCAGCACCTATTTAAAATATTGGTCAGCCTCCTATAATACATAAAGCAAATTGCAGTACATTAATATAAGATAGGGTCAGCCTTCTATAATACATAAAGCAAATTGCAGTACATTAATGTAAGATAGGGTCAGCCTCCTATAATACATAAAGCAAATTGCAGTACATTAATGTAAGATAGGGTCAGCTGCCTATAATACATAAAGCGAATTGCAGTACATTAATGTAAGATAGGATCAGCCTCCTATAATACATAAAGCAAATTGCAGTACATTAATATAAAATAGGGTCAGCCTCCTATAATACATAAAGCAAACTGCAGTACATTAATATAAGATAGGGTCAGCCTTCTATAATACATTAAACAAAGTGAAGTACATTAATGTAAGATAGGGTCAGCCTTCTATAATACAGAAAGCAAATTGCAGTACATTAATATAAGATAGGGTCAGCCTTCTATAATACATAAAGCAAATTGCAGTACATTAATGTAAGATAGGGTCAGCCTCCTATAATACATAAAGCAAATTGCAGTACATTAATATAAGATAGGGTCAGCCTTCTATAATACATTAAACAAATTGAAGTACATTAATGTAAGATAGGGTCAGCCTTCTATAATACATAAAGCAAATTGCAGTACATTAATATAAGATAGGGTCAGCCTTCTATAATACATAAAGCAAATTGAAGTACATTAATGTAATATAGGGTCAGCCTTCTATAATACATAAAGCAAATTGCAGTACATTAATATAAGATAGGGTCAGCCTTCTATAATACACAAAGCAAATTGCAGTACATTAATGTAAGATAGGGTCAGCCTCCTATAATACATAAAGCAAATTGCAGTACATTAATATAAGATAGGGTCGGCCTTCTATAATACAAAAAACAAATTGAAGTACATTAATGTAAGATAGGGTCAGCCTTCTACAATACACATATATCATTTTCTTAAACAACTATTTGTACTTAAAGGCCCATTGTCTAAAAAAATATAATTGCATGTTATTTTAATTTTTCGACAGCTTTGTATCTTTTGTGTCTTGTAATAGTGTCCAAAAGTTATATTCATTGACCATATTTCTGAGCCATCTTTTACTTCTTTTCATATGGCAATAAGTACATTTATAGTTAATTAAAAATTTGTATAGAAGTCAAATACATTTTTTTTGTCAACTTCTGTCATGAATTGTTTCACATTCAACACTATTTTCATCAGGTGAAAAGTGGACTATGCAAAGAAGGAACGCGATATATTGAAGGTTTTGTCGACATTCTTTCTTCAATTATAATATTTTCAAACGTAGATGTTATTCTTCGAATTAATTTCGAAATTTTTAATATTCATGATATTTTTGTATTTTCTTATCGTGACGAAGCACTATTTCGAAATATAATTTATATAAAAATGGCAAAACAAAATATGGAGAATCCGGGTATCGGTACCTCTCACATGCAAAGCGAGCGCTCTACCACTTGAGCTAATTCCTCATTTAAGCTACAGTCTCACTGACATCCTGGCAGAGCCCCAGTAGACGTCCGGGGTGATGGTACGACCGGGAACAACCGGTGTACATCCGTAACTCTGCCGACAACGT